TATACGAATACTGGCAAAACTTAGGCTATAGATATCACTGCTATCAATATTCCATTAAGCTTGGTATCATGCCAATGCCTACCTTATACATATTCATAGTTTTGCTAGAAATACACCAACATGTGAGTAAATTTGGTGAACATTCTGACTTTCATATTCATAAAACAAGATCGGCTTGTTCATTGAGAACCCCACAACACAAATTAGCTGTTAGCTGCAGAAACTCTTTAATTTTATTCAAAAAAACAATCCAATACCCTAAATTTTGCGTACCAGCAAGGGTATAGTCAATGTTCAAAACTTTCCAAGGCCGACCAAGTACCAATGATATACTTGTCATTGTCAACCAACTTCTCCAAGCCCATCACGTGGTATTCGTGAGTTCAATTCAGCGTAAAACAGGATATAGGTACTTGATATACTGTTCAGTTTGGAGACTACTCACATATTTTATTTATGTCGATTATAATTGTTATGTTATTCCAGATGTTGTAATCATGACGATACAAGATTAGATTAGATTTACAATTTTTTAATATTACAATTCAAGATTTGAACTTAGATGCTGTTGAAATATCAACATTCAAATGTCTAGTCTTGTTAATAGCTATCGCAACACTATTTCATGTCTCAAAATCGTGAACCCTACAGTGTGGTACGATTATTATTTTGCAAAAAATCTTCGAGAAATTTTACCACCAAAAAGTAGCCAATAGTTTAGGAAAAATTTCTGTAAAAGCTAAATACCCGATTTGGACGTTTTTTTTTTCAATTCTGAATGACAGGTCTCCTTCTGAACATTGCTGTGCAAACGCATAAGAACCTAGTTTTCATGAATACCGGGTGTAGCAATCATAGCGTATTTTTTTCATGAAATTTGTAATACCCTGTGGAGTGTAACAGTAGGTGACGTTATCAAGTTGGAATTAAAAGTACACTTCAGCCTTATCTTTTTTCAATATTCCTATTTTTATTTTTTCCATTATCTTTTCCTATTTCTCCAGAAACACAATTTTATAGCATGACATGATTTTATCGAATTCAACTAGCATTATAAGCACTAAAGTAGGAGGCTATGGCCTGGGAAGGCATTTCTTTGACTGTCCGCATGAAACTTGTGATCATGAATGGAAGCGTTACAGCAATAAGGTACATATCGGTGATTTTAGAACCAAATATGGTGTGAGGATTTTTGTTGATGCAAGATAATAGGCCTCACGTCGCCCGAGTTGTGAGAAAGTATCTAGAGGAAGTCTGTATCACTACCACTCACTACCATGACATGGTCAGCTCGGAGCCCGGATTTAAATCCTATCGAGAATCTCTGAGCCATTCTTGAGACAAGATCACGAGCGGAACGTAACTTGAATAGTTTGGAAAACGCACGGCAGAGACTGATGATTCAAATTTGGGAAAACGTCTTTGCTAAGAAGTTTTCCGTGTCCGCGGCGGTTTTCGTTTAACTTGCGACTTGTGACTTATTCTGTTTTGAAAAAAAGATTCCAAATCGGATAAATTGTTTCGACGAGAATGTTTCGCAAACTTTTGGCATCTTTTTGGTGGTGCGCTAATTTCTTGGAGAAGTGTATTTATTGAGATGCTTTACCTGTGAAACACCCTGGTATAACTGATAAACTAAAAACAATTCTGATAATTCGCGAAGTCTGTTGGTATGACCCTCTGAATGCGCAACTTTCTCTCCATCCAACTAAATTTTCCCGTTTCCGAGATCCTCATGCTGTGCAACCTATCTTGGTCACACTGTATAGTGTCCTCTTATTTGTTGTTTATAAATCACTGTAAGTAGGTAGTAGTAGGTACGTTACAATTTGATTCCACCCTCATTCAGCGATATTTGAAGCCACCGCCGTTACGGATTCCGAGAGTTCTCATGAGAACGGTGCCGAGATGCTGACTTTGCGTATTCACTTGAATATTATTTCACATTTTATGGTTAGTCTGATTTCAAAATTCTCACTGTTTACTTGGTAATTAATTTATATTTCCGTCAAGTTCTTTTCCGAAATGAATCTTTTTTAAAAATAAGATTTCACGGATTCACACTTTAACTGGTGCAGTCGGTAGGATCGCGAAAGAGTCTTTTTGAATAGATCCTCGTCGTTTTTAAACGTTTGTTCGCGATCTGCCAAGAATCAAGACCATCAACAGTGAACCGATGAAACATCTGAGCCTGATCCGCCTAGAGAAAGTCGCCCTCGATGAACTCCATCAAATCCAGAGCGAGCAAGAACACCTTCAACCCTTAGTCATCAGAGAAGCCGCCGACCACAGTCACTTTTGGACAGTCCCGGTATACATCGTCACTTAGACATCTTCGTCGCAGCCATCCTAGCAGCCATTTGTTACAAGTGGCGCCGATTGCTCACCTGCCCAAAGAAGTCATCGAAGAAGCCAGCACCGCAGTCTCCAGTTCTGTTTGTCCCTCACAAAACTTCTTCAGGGGATGAAGCACAATAATTTGATTGATGTTTGAATAAATAGTTATTTATGTATCTAGGGCGTAAAATAGGCTTTTATGGACCCGCAGCGTGTAAGTAATACACCGAGCGATAGCGAGGGCTATTAACACGCCTAGGTCCATAAAAGCTAGTTACGCCCGAAATACATACAACATTTTATGCACGACCTGTATATATTTGATATCTCATGTAGGTATCTCTTCACCCCTCAAGCACAATAAAAGTACATCACGGTTGCAGTGAGACTGTATTGTATCCATATCGCAAATACAATTAATCAAGAAGTATGGAATCAACGTTACCATGGCAACTCAGTCAATTTTTCGAAATAGGAATTAATAGGCCAGTAGCCATATTAATTGTCAATTTGTGTAATCATACATAATTCATTAGTGATTTCAAAATGAATTCTAGTGATGAAGAAAGTGTGAATTGTACTCCACCAGAAATTAGTGAGGCAGCTGAGGAAGCAAAATCGAGTTTATTGCCAAGTAAATCAAAAAAAATATACGAAGAATTCGTAAGCTGGTGCGATATGACAGTGACATTAGCTTTACCACCAGCTCAATGACTTTATCGCCCGCCGGGCGGTAAAGTAGTCCGCGGGCGGTAAAGTGCCACTTTACGCCGCAAACCTGGGCGGTAAAGTGCTACTTTACGCCCGGTCGTGCATAATAGTTATTTATGTATCAAGGGCGTAAAGTAGGCGTTTATGGCCTGTGGCGTGAATAATGGCCCGATGGCGCTAGCCGAGGGCCATTACACGCTGAAGGCCATAAACGCATTTCACGCACGAGATACATACAAAATTTTATGCACTAGTGGTTTATTTTCTGACTCATAACTAATGACTATAGATTTCAATTAACTAATATTCCCCAGAATTTAATTTGTTACTTATATATAAATTCAGTAATCAAGAGAAGCGTAATGTTCATGGATGATTTACATATGAAAATTATCGTACTAATATTGCAATTATCGTAATAGTAAAACTCTTTCAGCTCTAGAAGAGATTCACTCTTCAGAATTTTACAATATGCATACCCAGTATATAAACCTAACTTATTTTGACGTTGTCAATCAATCTGATGGTTGTTGTCTATAGCAATACATCCAATAAACGAGCTGAATTGTCATTCTTTGATTGAGAAGTAAAATTAGTGATAATAATATTAGCAAGACTATGGAATCGGATGAAGAAGAAGTTTATGATATACCGCTGGATATATCAGAATCTAGGAATATGATCATAGGTTTTTCATAAATTGATATGTGGATATAAGGTGACTGAGAACAGCGGGCGGTAAAGTGTACTTTACGGCCCGTGGGCCATAATGAGCCCGCGGGCGGTAAAATGCGACTTAACGCTCGCAAAATCGGGCGGTAAAGTGCACTTTACGGCCCGCTAGTGCATAAAATATATTATTATAATCTCTGGTAGAAGTCCAACATTTCTCAAAGTGGAGTGTACTTGTAAAAACTAATTAAAACTCGAAATCATCTCCACGACAGTTTACTATGTGAATAAGTCACATCAGGGAAAACATGTTTTCGGACATACATATGTTCATCATCAGCCTATTAGAAATTAGTCTTACAAGAGACAAAAATGAGTGTAATGAGTGAAAATCTTGCCATACAATCGCTTACGTGAAGGTGAAAAAATATCTGCAATACATTGAAATTATTATCATTATATCGTGTAATGATATTCCCCTTAGAGGGGCTCTAGAAACATCAGCAGGAAGGCAGGAGTACAACGATCATCCTGTAACACGCATCCCAGATTGTTCTTCAACCTCTCAATGATTCCTACATGCACCAGCATATTTCCGAACACTCAATATATGCCGCGGTGACAAATAACGTGTCAGAAGATTCTGGAATGTTCTGGAAACAATCGATGGAACAATTAGAGAGAGAGGTATTGTTCTAAGAAGATTCTAGAACAAAAAGAAGGAGACGGAAGATCATTCGAGAACGTTCTCGAACCAAAGCCTACCAATGGATCTTATATATAAGGCGGCCGAACAACTCCGTCAGTCAGTCGAGCAGCGAGTGTCAGAGAGACAGTTATATACCGCGTGATATAAATCGTTTTACATAAATAGTAGTTATAAGTACGATATAAATTAGTGTTTTCTTTAGTTCAAATAAATCAATTCGAAGATAAATAGTGTCGTGTTCGCTTCTGCACCCGAATAACGTAACAATATTATTATTATTATTATTCCGCCCTTATTCAGCGATATCTGATGCCACCGCCGTAACGGATTCCGAGAGTTCTCATGAGAACGGTGCCGAAATGCTGACTTTGCATATTCACTTGAATATTATTTCACATTTTATAGTTAGTCTGACTTTATAGAATTCTTACTGTTCACTTGGTACCTAATTTTGATTTTTTTTAAGTTTCTTTCCGAAATGAATCTTTCTAAAAATGAGATTTCACGGATTCAAACTTTAACTAGTACGAAGAATTGTGTCAGTTTACTCATACCAATGTATTGTTTCTAGTGTATCACAGTAACCTGGAGAATGACATCAAAGGTGATACCAGCGGCATTTTCAAACGCCTTATGGTCTCGCTTTGCAGAGCTTGCAGAGACGAAAACACACCCGCCAATCAGGAAGAAGCTACAGAGGATGCGCAGTGGCTCTATGATGTTGGAGAGAAACGCATACTAGGCACCGACGAATCCACCTTCATCAGGGTCTTTTCCCATCGCAGCTTTACACAGTTGCAGTTGATTTTCATGGAGTACGAACGAATCTCAGGACATGACATCGAAGAAGCCATCAAGAGTCAGTTTTCTGGGATTTCCCAGTTAGGATTCTTGGCAATTGTGCACAACATAAAGAATCAGCCGCTGTTTTTCGCGAAGATGTTGAATAAGAGCATGAAGGGACTGGGCACGAGAAATAGGCAGTTGATAAGGTTGATGACGACTAGATGTGAGATTGATATGGAAGATATCGCAAGAGAGTATGAAGCGAAATATGGCGAGTCTTTGATAGATGCAATCAAAGTAAGTAATGATGGATGTGGATACAATCATTACACAAACTTTCTTTCGAATTGATTGTTGCCGGTGTTGCGTTAGTGGTGATGGTGCTACAGTATTTTGTTTCTGATGGATGTATTCCTGTTGTTTCAGTGGGATTGTTTATGTAATTTTCAAAGGTGGTTGAAATCTTTCATGAACACCACGAAGGATCAGTCTCTTCTTGGTAATGTGAGAGTCTTCACATCCATGTCCGTTATACTCACCTAACACTACACTCCCTTTTAGGCCCGTCTGACCTTAGTGTCTGTGACACTTAGACCCCTTGGCCATTGTATCATCCCTGTTTCATAGAACCCACTTCATAACGATCGTGCCTTGTACATTGAACAAGCCTTTACAACTTGTTTCCTTGTTGTGAGTTTTATAGTCTGCAGCTGTGATTGGCCAGTCACAAGCCCTGTTACTTTCAGTTTTCCCCTGCTGAGATTGAGCAATTTCGCAGTTTCATTGTGACACGATTCTTTGATATATTTCTTCCTTTGTGTCTTTTTCCTGGAAAGATCTCCCAGAAAATGACGTTCATGTTCATTTCGCGGACGTTGAACGCCTCGTGGGGTGTAAATGCTGAGAAGCATTCACGATGGGTCAGGTTCGCACCAGATAGCGGTCAAAAATGCTATCTATGATAGCCCTGCACTGATGAGAGCTCGAAACCGGTCTGCAGGTAAGTGATCAGAACACTTGTTGGTATCAACCAAGTCGATATGTACTTACAGTTCGCTTATTCTAAGTGAACACTAAACTAGTGCTAGGTTAACGAATACTCACTATTATTAAATTATTTTTCTGACATAAGATCACTTGCTCTGAGCGAACTCATCAATGAAGACAATCTATCAAGTCGATTATTGCAGATGACAGCTCACCTGTAGTTATAGATCTCTTTTCCGTTCGGACATCTCCGATATTATTCGAGTACCCACGCCCAACGCGATCACTGTCTAGTGTCCACGAGTCCACGGCGTCATTTCGATCTTAGCATTCGTGAAGTTAGTATACTTGCGTTCCCGCTAGTAACATTTAAATTCCAAGTCATGCAAGTGCCCTTTCGAACAACTATACTATATCATATTCGTATGAGAATTCTCTGTTTGTGTGCCGTGCTCTGTGACCGTGCTCTGAGCTGTGGGGTGTTGAGTTCTTGATCTGTTCTCTTGAAGGAGATAATTAAATACAAAACTCTTCTAGAACAGTACATAATTGTTTCTACATATACACAGGATTTTTTTCCACTTCCTATGATACTCGAAGTGGAAGGAAGTGACGTTTAAAAAGTATGAAAGTTGATTCATCTTCAATGCTGGAAGGAAAAAGATAGTGATAGATAGAGAGCAGTGCAGTGAGTGAGAGTACCGTTTTTTTCGGTGCATGATGCTGATATACGCGGTATCTAGTATCTCAATATTTGTCGTCAGCCTTACCTTTTTTTGTATTTTCTGGATTCATCATACCTATATATTGAAATGTTTCGAATGCATGTGATTTTGTCTTATTACCAAGGTTTCATCATTTCTCAGAGAACAATGGAGGTATTTTCTCATACTATCTAAAATGACAAGTGAATAAGTCACCATTGACAAGTAAATAAGTCACTGATGACTAGTAGATAAGTCACTTATGACATGTAATTAGGCCACTAATGACTAGTGAACAAGTCACTAATGAAAAGTGAATGAGTCACTAATGGCAATTGAATAGGTCACTGATGACAAGTGATGTGTTCACTAACCGTTATCACTCTGAAATTCAATGGAACAGGTGAATAGTGGTAGGTGTACATTTTCAGGAACACAAATATTCTTGTGGTTATTAACTTGTTTCCTTGTCCCATATAGTATACAAGTTTTTACTTGCCACTATTGAATGTTCACTTAGGGTAAGTGGTTTTTTTTTCTCCGTGTAGCCAGGAAAGTAGTTGTTTTTTTCTTGTTGTTCACATTTTCGTTCATATTTTGAACTATTGTTGTAAAGACTTTGCGTTTCTCTCTGTTTGCACCCAGAAAATTTTGTGTTTTCACGAAATCCAGTCTTACAGACGCCAGTGCTATGCGTTTTGGCACTCGCAGCGCGTGACCTGGTCTGGGTCATTTCCTGACCCTCTCCTACCGAGTTCATCCGCTTTTCAGAGCATGCTATCCCCTGATGTTTCGTCACAATCGTCACCTAGAACAGTTTCATTCTCTGTTCTGTTTCGCCAGTTTTCTCAAATCCATTCCAGTTCATACCTTACTTCCTGACCTCCTATGGCACTGAGTATTGCGACTGTCTGACATAGTAAGGATCAAAGGATCTGCTCGTCTTTGATGACTCTCCTAAGATTTTCTCTTGCACATTGTATAATGGCATACACCTCTGCTTGAAACACGGAGGTGTATGCCTCCAAATCGTAGATAAGGCGCGTCTATATATGTTCTACGAGTACACTACTGCCCCCTCACCGTTTTCAGTTTATGATTTGTCTGTATACAAGATCTTTACTTGTCCTATTCAGTTCTGTGTGTTATATTACCTATATGTTCTAAATATGCTCTGAAATCGTTTCATTTCGTGGCAGTTCACTATTGATAGAGGCCGCTGTTTGCTGGCAGTACGTGAAATGAGTATTCTTTGATTGACTCCAACACATGTTTCCAAATTATGATAAATTTTTCAGTTTTTGAGTTTCTTACTCCAGCATATTCTTTGTGAGGTAGTGGACATAGATGTCAGTGAAAGTTCAACATATTCCACCAAATGGGATTGTTCTCAGACTAGCTGTACCTATAAATTAATTAATTTTGAATTCAGGCTGAGCCTTATGGTTGAGAAATCATGATAACCTTGATGTAGGTATTCCAACTGATGTGCTTATGTCATGTGTGCTGTATATTTATAGATTCATGTTATCATTCTTTGCAGTTGTTTGCAAACAGTTAATATTTCCTGAATTTATGATTTCATAAATGATGTACCTATAGTAGGGCATTCCTCTTCTCTTAATCGTCTGTTTATATCAAAACTGTTCATACTAGAATGCATTCGAGAATTGTAGTGATAATTAAGCACAATGAAGATGTGTACGTGATATTGTAGTATTTTACCTCGCATATTTCACTGAATTTACCGAATTTCCAATTCGGTCTCTTCATATTGACTTTCCATGTTCTGAGTTCCTTTTTATTTGTTTGAAAGCTGACAAATTCAAATTCACCATCCAACCGGTTGATACAGTCTAACGCATCACATTTTGCCATTCTTCCTGAAAAGAATTGAAATACTGTGATTTAAATCTTGTAAGATTTCTTGTAGCGCCTATGGATGTGACATAGTATGTATTTTTTCCTTCTTAGTGCATTTGTATTGAAGCTTGTCTTCAAAAAGTTTTTTTATATTACTTTATTTTTAACTTTTCAGTATTTTTTATAATGTCAAATAATAACTCCATTAATTTCTATCGAATGTACATATATTTCATTAATAGTCGAAACCCTTTGGGTCTATACTGTATAGACACAGATTAACAAACCTTATTGTTAATCTGTGGTATAGATATGAGTATGTTTGATTACAGACACACAGACACACACACCCTGACATCAGGTGAAACTAAATAAAAATGTGTAATAAAGGTACTATGATCCGGCCGTACTAGCCGTATCGGCGTCCTGATGTTACAAATATTATTAGAGAGTTGAAGTAATCACTGTACGTAGACCTCCACGTAGACGTTAAGTTACGAAAAATAACGTTTACGTATTGTCGTTAAATTGAGTTGAAGTCGTCACTGTCATCATAACGTAATAATACATTTCGTTTTCGGTTTGTATTGGTCAATTTTGGTTGTGTGTTTAGATTCGAACATTTATTCCTGTCAAAATGTCCTTGATGCAGAACTCGTTGGGGATCCCAAATTTGATGATTTTGACTCATCGGCATATTTCGAGTATGGTTAACGTACGTTGATATTTAAGGTATACGTGAAAGTTCGTGAGATAACGTACACCCGTAAGCCCACTAACAACGCAAACGTGAAGAATTGGGAAATGCGCATGCGTAGCTGTCAATTTCTACGTTTACGTTAACGTTCATGACAACACTTCAACTCTTTAATATACCTTAGGTTATGTATACTCACGTCATTGATTGATATATTACGCTTATGGAAGTGAAAAAAAGAGAAGGCAACAATAATATTAGAGCGCTCTACCACGTCATGTTAACCTTGATTCTCATGATGGGCTCCATCTTTAATCAATTGGATGAACAAGTGTTGAAATCCTCCATAAAGCCCCCTTTGGGCCATGGGCAATTTGCCCTTCATTATTTATTTGTAATAATGTGAATTGTACCATGTAATATTATAGTTGCCTTCTCTTTCTTTCACTTCCACGTGAGTATACATAACCTAAGGTTTAATATTTGTAACTATATAAAAAACTGTTCTTTGTAGAAATTGTCATTCAAAATATGCTTCTGCTGATGATGGACACTGATTATTCAGTTAATAAATTTGTGGAGATGACTTAGTGTGTCTTGTTTATGAATATAACATTTCGTTATCAAATGACGGTATAAATCTGCAGCCGGCTCACCTACTATACAGGGTGTTTCATGATTGGATGTCAATATTTGGAGTGGCGTTTTATATGCATCAGGTATGACCTAAACGTCCTATCTTTTGAGATACAGGGTGGCAAAGTTCTCAGAAATTAATAGTTTTTTATTAATATCTGTAATTCCAATCCAGATATTCTGATGAAATTCGGCATACATGTACTATGTATCAAGAGGCATCAGTTAGTGTACCACATTCTTTTTGGTTGCCACCAGTAGCGTTCGTATGGATTTTCACACACCTATTTTGAATCTCGAAATTGAAATCATCCCTGAAATTCCCAATCATTTCTTAGCAAATTTGATCACCACGATTCTTTCAATATGATGCACAGTTTTCGCTTAAAAATTAAAAAGCTTTTCAGTACATGATTATGGCAATATCGTTAATATGACAATATCACAATGCAGAGCAATAGATCTCAATTCATGGTTTATGAACTTCATATTCGTATTTGGTATTTTGGAATTATAACTTTTCATTGTAGTAGACTATATTAATTTTTGAGAACTTCATCACCCTGTATCAAAAAAGTTAGGACGTTTAGGTCATACGTTCATATGAAACTGTAATCTTAGAATGGTCCCAAGAATCTCCTCCTCAAATATTGACATTCAATCATGAAACACCCTGTATATTGTATCCATGGCTGACAAAATTCACGTCGAATATTTCTCTGATGAATGTGTTTTCGATTGTTTCAGGGGGATTGTTCAGGAGATTACAGAAGGTTCATGGTAGCTCTCATTAGAGGTCCCAGTTAACACTCCTTCGAGGTCCTTGTTAGGTTTCATTCGGGACAGCTATAGATTTACAACTTCCTGTTATGTTGATTTCATGAAATGTTTTATACTTGTGATATATTTATCAATACAATTTTCGTATGTACATTGCGGGAGTTTATTCATTCCCAAGATTCCATTCAAGAAGAAAACATTCGAGAATAGTTATTTATTATACAAGGGAAAAAAGTTGTAGATTTTTCCCGTGTATAATACACTATTTTTTTCTGTGACAGAAGGAAGGACGAATCAATATTGAGAAGATATTACATTATTTTGAAATCTGAAAATTATCGACGTGAAATTTCAAGTTTTTAACAGTAGGGACACCTGCGTTTTATAGGCATCTTCATAATTCTTTTGAAGTAATCAAATATCTGATGTCACTACTGTCAGTTCAATTCTGTGATTTGATTTTAAAAAATTGCGAATTCAGTAGTTGTTTAGTAATATACGAAACTGCGAAGTCGAATGGAAGATAAAAGGACTTGCAGTTCTTTCTCGGAGACGGTATTATTGACTCATTTTTCGGAACTATTGCACAACAAAAGCCATTAACAGAGTATATATATGTGATATATATATCCGGGAAAGAAGTACTCACTTTTTTCCCACGGGAAAAAAGTAATTTATGAAAAGTGACATTTTATAACCTGCCAACAGAGAAGAAATGCCAAACTTTTTTCCCGTCACAGAAAAAAATATGTATTTTACGTGTATGGTAATGTTCGATGAGTTTCGAAAGTACTATTCATTATCATTCCAAATTACCTTCTGGAGTATAGTGCTCATATGCTCACTATTGAACTTTATTTATGTATCATAATTCTACTATATAATGGTATGATATGGCATTGTCTTGAATACTTACAATACAAGTGTATTTTATTGTATGCATTGAATACACTGCGACCTGAAAGATCTACATTACATGTATGCTATTTTTATCAGGACTTCAAATAATGAAGACACTTTCATTGCCGTCGATCAGAATATGTTGAAAAAAAGACTTCGAGGTCATCTATACAGTTCTAAACACACTAAATGGACCACTCATAATTTGACTCTATTTCGAAGACCTGATGTATTTTTTGAAAAAATTTACCGAACTTCGTGCGGTTTTCGATATCAGATGTTAGAAGAGAGCTAGAACACTAGAAGTCCGCAGAACAAAACTTACACAGGGTGTACACTATGGTCTGAATTTTCAATGCTGCCAGAACTCGAGGAATTTTTTTCTGATCAAAAGTCAGTCATATTATGATACACTGGGACCTCATCTCGGGACTTTTTCGTGATTTCTCCTTAATTGGCCATTGGAACAAAAATTAGATTTTTTTTCGAAAGTCTTGCATTTCTTGAATTTTTTCTCTAGAACTCCACTTGAGCTGACTATTGGAAAAAACTGTTCTCATGTTTTGTGCAGGACAATGAGAGACGAAGAAAGCACTATTGTGGAATATACAGGATGATAAGAAAATAGGACAAAATCTCATTTGGTCCATGGCCCATTCGCTATAGTATATTCAGAAATGGCCTTCTCGATATCCATTATTTATATAAGACTATTGATTCGCCTCTAATTGAAATACAGGATGAAAATTGTCAACTCAAACTTGTTTCCTGATATCGATGATTCTTATCAACCGATTTCCAATATTCGATTTTTTTCATGTTCTGGTTCCCACGAAAATGGATATCCTGTAATGTTCAGAGAACATCGTGAGAACCAAGGGAAATAAGGTAGGAATTGGTGTTCTTCTTGAATTTCTGGAGGTTATATGCCTCGGGGAACACCTCCCTTGGCAATGTGCCCAAGTATATGAGACACAGAGTATTGTTGTTCAATATACTGAGTGTTTCACAACTTATCTGACAAATTACGAACTCTAGAAAACAATAATGTTAGAAGAATGTGGTGACCAGCATTATCTCCAGATCTGGATTTGATTGAACATGTGTGGAGCCGAATGAGACTTAACCTATCGAGAAGGCGAGAGCCACCCCAAAATGATAACAAGCTGTATCAGAAGCTGTATCATAGCTTTGCAGATGATAGTACCCTCCATACTGCGTTCTCTTCCAGAATTCCCATTTCTTCCCAGGAAACTAAGAAGTCACCTCGAAGGCAGGTCAATGCTGTCAATGAAGACCTTGCTGAAATCACAGCCTGGGGAACCAACAACCTAGTTGAATTCAACGCCACCAAAACTCAAGCCTGTATTTTCTCTAGAATGGCGGAACTCAGTATGCCCTATATTGTAATGTCTGGCACCACCATCCCCACCAAGCTCACCATATCTATGCTCGGTATTTCCATCAGCAACACTCTTTCATGGGAAGCTGCTTCACAAATACTCGGATTCTTGTTCCGTGCGAAAAGCAACTTTACACCTCAATAGCTTCTCATGATCTACAAAGCGCAGATACGGCCTGTTCTAGAATACTGTTCCCACACATATGGGGTTCAGCACCAAAACATACGCTGATGCTCTTAGATTCCATCCAGAGAAGAGCCATTCGCCTGGTGGGTGACGCCACACTCACTCACTCTTTGACATCATTGAAACACCGTAGAAAGGTCGGCGACCTTTCACTTTTTTATGGATACTTCCACGGGAAATGTTCTTCGGAAATCTCTGCTATCATGCCTTCACTAGCAATACCAGTCAGACGAACTAGACAAGCCCAGTCAGCACATCCTTTAGTTGTCAACCTCGAAAGATGTCGAAGAGCACTTTATCAAAACTCCTTCATCCATAGAACGGCTAGGCTCTGGAATTCATTGCCTGAGGAAGTATTCCCAACATCATATAATCTCCAGAAGTTCAAAAAAATTCCAATACCTACCTCCTGTCCCTATCCTCCCAAGGAACGCACGATGTTCTTTGAACATCATAGGGATTTCCTTTCGTGCGCTCCAAGCGATAAAAAAAATGGGAAGCAATTACAATAGACTTCATCAACAACCTCATATAATCTATGCCAAACCGATTTCATGAGGTTTTGTTAAATCCAGGGAGGCCCTACCAAGTACTGAAATTTAGGGTATAGGACTTTCTAGTTGGATCTTCTCTTCATAATGCTTAAGAATTCACTGATGTCATATTTCGCCAATAGAGACCATTATCTCGAATAGTTTTAGTGGATATGAAGTGTTTTATCTCGTTTTACTTCTACAAAATTTTTATGTGATAGACTTCTTATGCAATATCGTAGTTGTGGTTGGAATTTGTCAGATAAGTTGTGAAACACTCAGTATATTGAACAACAATACTCTGTGTCTCATACTTGGGCAATAAATATTGGAAATTAGTTGATAAGAATCATCGATATCAGGAAACAAGTTTGAATTGAGAATTTTCAACCTGTATTTCAATTAGAGGTGAATTCTCAAAAACATCTCGAGTTAATATAGTCTAATATAAATATCGAGTATCGAAAAGGCCATTTCTGAATATACTGAATCGAATGGGCCATGGTTTCAGTCACCGTTTTTAATTTTTTTTACTGAAATGAGATTTTGTCCTATTTCATCATCCTGTATATTCTGCAATGGTGCTTTTCCCGTCTTTCATTGTCCTCCGTGAAACATGAGAACAGTTTTTCCAATATTCAGCTCAAGTGGAGTTCTAGAGACAAAATTCAAGAAATGCAAAATTCTAATTTTTGTTCCAATAGCCAATTAAGGAGGAATCACGAAATTGTCCCGAGATAATATGACTGACTTTTGATCTCGATTCTCGAGTTCTGGCAGCATTGGAAATGTAGACCATAGTTTAATGGTTCCACTTTACACCCTGTGTAAGTTTTGTTCTGCGGACTTTTTCAGAGTGTTATAGCTCTCTTTGAAGACGATGAAACATCACATCTGATATTGAAGACCGCATGAAGATCGGTAAATTTTTTCAAAAAAATACAGGTCTTCGAAATAGAGTCAAATTATGGTTGGTCCATTTAGTGTGCTGAGAACTGTATTTCGTGTAACGTTGAGAAAATATTTGAGTATCTCATATTCACATGGAAACATCAAATGTTAAATGAAATTTTGAAAATAGCCTTTGCCATTTCCATCATAATCATTATCAAGAAAGATTGGTAATTTTGAAACCAATACCATAATAATTCTGCTCAAGTTCTTGCTCGAATGCACCCAAAACACTTGAATCAGGTCATAAAATGCTAATGAGGTGTACCCTTAGTACATGGGCTCAAACAAAATATACCAACATAGCTCAAGAGTCGTTACGATTTATTTGGGCCGCAGTGTATACATATACGTCAAACAAATACGATAATCATCGAAAACAGAATAGTAATTTGTGAAGTTGCAAAACAATAGTGTCAGAACATTGTAGTTTTCTCTTCATAACGTAAACACTGAGTCTCACATCAGTCTCGTTTTTCATGAAAATGGAAGTTTGCCAAATTATACCCCAGGCGCTGCCGTTTTTGTTATTCGAAAAACACAATTCCGTCAAGTCATGTACTATTCAATAAATAAGAACAGTTCTCTCCCACTAATTTCAACAATTCTAGAGAAAATGTAAATAAAAACAGCCTCGAAATTTCCCCAGATGTTTTGGTGTAACCGACTACATTTTCTATTATTACTTGAACTCTTATTAGTGTATTTCGAAAGCAAACAAAATGGGGGGTTTTAACAGCCACTCCAAAGAATAACAGACATCAACGAAATATATCATTCGGCACATAAAATTTATTTTCGGTTGATATATAAGGCTCTGGAGGTCTGTTTTGCAGACAGTTGCTCAAGTTGCATCCACTGAAAAAGTTTTCCGGTGTTTTCATTTGGAGATTTCGTTCCGTCATGTCTGCCGTAAGTGTTAATAATATTAAGCAAACGGAAAATCACTTATTTTATTATAAAACGTGAATTGTGAAGTGTATTTCAAATGAAAACGGATTATAAAGATATCAGGTGATATATTGATTATATTCCACTGCACCTAAAAATGTTGAAGATTAACTCGATCACACCCTCTCTGACACCCAATTAAGACTAGACGTTGAAGTTATTGAGAATAAAATGGAGTTATTGTCTAGTGCGCAAGCTATCGCCGTTGCACCTCAACCAAACTACCAGAAATGGACTTTGAGCGTTGATTGATATACATATTACGCTTACATCAATCAACGCTTTGAGCATCAAGCAATTATTGAGTGCGGAAAAACGCTTGATTTTTTTTTTGGGAACATGAAGTTTTAATATAAAACTTGCATAAACTTAATAATTCCAATAGTCCAAGAGCCGGCTGCAGTGATATATCGCACGTTGAGAACAATAGTGTGACAACTCAAAAAAGTTGATTTTTGAGTTAGAACCACCGTCGGATAGCAAATTTCGAGCTCTACACTTCTAGAGTATTATTGTGACATCTCTAGGTCCAATAGTTGCTGCGTGACATCGCTGGTCACGTTATTGCACTAGAGGAGAAGTAGGTACTACAGCCGAGCAAGAAAGTGACTTTTTGCGTTGTCACCTGAACTTCGCAGGATACGCCTCGTATTCTGATTTTGAGGAAATTTTTATGATATATAATGTGACAAGTCATTAAAAGTCACCTTATTGACTAAACAAAATTAGAAAATTTTCAATTACATATTCATCATTGAATGAAATAATGATTCAATTCATGACAACAACCACGGTTTTGGAGGCTCATACCACCAGAAATCAGGATGAGCCTTCTAATGCATGAGTTAGGAAGACAGAAAATAAAAATTCATGAAACCAGAATTTCTAATTTGCATATTTGGTGAAATAACGAGCTAGCCAACAGAAATACAGTTAATTGGGTATTAGGTCCGGAGTAGAAGGAAATGGGACAAAAATTCACGTTCCAAGAACGTTCTCATAATATTTTTCAGAACACTATTCAAAGAACATTCTATGAATGATATATAGAACATCCTCAAGATGACCTAGAAATATTCTCAGTATACAGGGTGTTTTGAACCACATGGAGAATATTTCAGGGATCGATATATAGGAAGAAAATATAAGCCCTGGATGGAGTTATAACTTGGGTAGGGTAGGAAGAAAGTAATTGGAGAAAATAGCGGTAAATTTGAATTCACTAAATCCTATTGCTACCCCAGATGATCGTGGCAAGTTTCTTCAAAATCAGCGAAAAGGGAATAATCAATGAAAAATCGATTTTTCTCGGAAAATTTTACTCCCTGCTGTATATCAAAAACGAAGCAAGTCAGGACATAATATGTTCATAGGAAACAGAAATTATTCTTTTTCTCAGAGTATTTGAGTGATAAATGCTTGAACATACCTGGCGAACATGCCTAGAAAATTCGAACAGAACATTCTCTGATCATATCTTGATAACATTTATAGAATATAATGGAATATTCTAGGAACGTATCTAGGATGAAATGTTCTACGAATATTCTCGTGAAACATTCTATAAACATTCAGAACATTCTCATCATATTCTATGAACGTTCTTCGAAATATTCTGGAGGAGGTATGTTGTGAACGTTGTGAGAACATTCATAGAACAACCTCGATAGGAAAGGAACTCAAACAACCTCCGTGGTGCAGTACTGTACCAGGAGACATTAGAAAATAAGAAGACAAACTGAGATTGATATATCTGTGAAATTCTTCAAGGTCTTAGACAAGCTAATGAAACTTCGTAATCTAACGGGAGTCCTAACAGGACGTCCTAGGAAGCTCAGTTCAGAAGAGGAAGAAGAATGCAGGTTCTATGTAGAAATGGTGGAATCCTCTATTCAAATCGCCCTACCATTACCTCCGGTATGTGTGACCCTACAGAACCCAAGGGGGCACAAAAGATGTTTCAGGTCGCGCTGTGTTCACCTCTTATTCAATAGGTGGGATAGGGTTCACGTTGATTTTCCTACAAACATAAAAAATTATACGGTTCGCGGATTGATAACAATATGTGACACTTTTTCTCGGCTTACTTTAGAACTATATATTTTGATGTTCGTAGAAAATATGTTTCTTGCAACTTGTGCGCGAAATACTTTGGTGATCTCGACTATTTATATAACTCGGCTGGACCTCGTTAAAAGAATCAGTTCTTGATCACCAAAGTAGCATTTCGCACAATAGCAACGAAAATATTTTTTTATCACAGTGTATATATTCAATTCTTCATCATGAATGTGGTAAATTGGAAACAAAACATAATGATTAGGAGATTCCTGAGAAAGGGATAGTTTAGCTAAAAACACACACAAATTACTGGACGCACTGTATACAAACCCTTTATGTGTCATATATTTTCGAATCCAGCTTCACATGGAAATTTCAAAAATTGAATAATATTTAGGGTGTTCAATTTGAAAATATTGTCGCGGACATAACTCACACATAGATCACTCTGTATATTTAATGTTTCTCCATAAAAATGTGGGAGATCATAAATTGAAATCGACATGATTCAGAAGGTTCCTAAGAAATTGGTAATTTGGCTAGAAATTAATATATTCAGTACTTTACGAAAGCCCTGTATATACCGGGTGGTCCATTCGAGGTAATTCAATTCTGAAACTAGCCGTGGAAAGTTTTTTGAATTCCAACAAGTCGTTCTCGAGATATTCGAGTTCAAATGGTATGTTTTCCAATTGCGAGTAATAATTGAAGGAGGCAGTCAATCCTGCTTCAACATAAAAATTATGGAGACGACTTTGAGTTTTCTTTTTAGATCATTCCACTCCACTTTGAGTATGGACTACTACAGAAAATTATTTAATGGTTATCCACAACAAATGTTCAAAATAACCTTCATTGACTTCGAGACACTGGTAGAATCTATTTGTAAATTCCTTTCGCACATTTGAGATGTTTCTCTGTGCTGGCCATTCTGATGGTCCTCTACGACCTATCCATTTGTTTGGGAGATTTTGGGGTAGCCATTCTCTCACCTGTGATACGGAATATGTTTTGTTCTAAAATTTGTTCTATCCGTCATTCGGTTGCCCCCTTACGAGCAACCCTCAAAAGTCTTCGAAAGTCTTGTGCGAGCAAGGAATGACGGGGGCCTTACCTTTTAACGTGTGATCCCAAACACTTTCTTGGGCCATCAGAAAAATTTCTGCAGTCGACGGGGATCGAACCCACGACCGGCAAGCGAATGCGAATTAGAATATAGACACTCTGTCCGCACGGCTACCTGGCCACCCAGGTAGCCGTGCGAATGAGGTGACACATCATCTTGTTGAGAATAAATATTATCTGCCAATAGATTTCGGTTACCATCATCATATATAGGTCCGTAGAGGACCAATAGAATGGACAGCACGTCTGCCAGACTTGGCACCCGATGATTTTTTCCTATGGGGTCTTTTGAAATCGGTAATTTATGAAACGGAACCTACTGACCTCCATGATTAGGAGAGAAGAATGAGAACTGAATGCCATCAGGCAATATCAAGAGAAACATTCTCAAACGTACAAGAAGAATTTTCAAATAGACTCTACCACTGTCTATAAGAGTCAATGGAGGCCATTTTGAACATCTTTTGTGAATACCTGTTCAATAATCTATTATTTACATTCATTTACCCACAATTAAAAAACATACCATTCGAACTCGAATATCTCAAGAACGACTAGTTGGAATTCAAAAAACTTTCCACTGCTAGTTTCAGAATTGGATTACCTTTGCAATGATGTATAACACGACCCTTATTCCCTATTCAAATTATTTAGGGGGTTGCTCTGGGAAGTAAAGGGTTGAACTATGGATTATTTATTTCGCGTTAAAAGATGTCCCCCTCCATATAAAAATCGACGTGTTTCGTCAATTTTTTGTGAAATAATATTTCTGGGAGATATCAAGGGTGGATAGTCCTAAATGGAGCACCCGGTATAGTGTATAACTCCATGATTACGTAACAACACCTGACCTGAGAGCAGAGTGAGGGGGGGAAGATTTTCAGTCATGTGACCTCTGGAGCAAACAAATCAATAATATATAAAAGAACGCTCCTGATGGGGAGTTTACTATTGCAATTCCAATAAAAATCGTGATTTCTTACCGATTTGAATCAAAATGTTTTCACTTTCAATTATGGGCACGCCTTTTTCTGTCTGAACTATAATAAATAGCTTCGTTCATATTTGGTTTCAATATTTGAGTTGTTCATCTATGACTACAGACTTTGCTGCTCATACTGAACAAATTAATTCAATTCAAACTCAAACCGAACCAGAAACCAGGGCTCAAATTGCAAGTGCTATAACTGACCTTATTTTTTTCCTGGTTGTCAAATTACAGAACGCTCCAAATAAATTGTGTCTTGCCCTTGATTATATACATGGGTCTTGCTCTAAAGAGTCTAAAGGATATTGATAAACGGCTCCGGAGATAAACAAGAAAATAAATGTGATTGCAGAACATCTCTCTCGTTTCACAAATTTTTTTTTAATTGCATTTTCTCATTGGTCCCAGCACTGGGACAAACGTCCTATGAATCGAAACCTGTGCATAGCATACATAGTTCACAAACATACATGATATGTGTGGGAGTGGGATTCGAACGCAGTGGGAGTTCCAAGTCCCTAGCATTCCATGGAATTGACAGTTACTATTCTTAAGAAGAAGATGAGGGAGCAGAAGGAGTTGTAAAAGTATCACAATGACAAACATTTTTTGAAGTACAGCAGGTCAAAGATCTCCTCATGAAATTTCAACCGAGCAAGATTCAATACGAGACACTAATATTTTGACCTATTCAAGAGGAGTTTCGAGCCAGTAAGATTTCTAACAGAGCATTGCAGACTCAAAGAACGCCTTGAGGTTTGTTAATCTGTGGCCTGAGGAACCTAGG